CTCACAAGGCCACTCTGGCAGGAAGCTGGGGACAAGGAAGGGGATAGCGCGGCCACCTGGAGGCAGGAGCGAGGGCCTCCGCAGACGTGCTGCTGCCCAGATGCTTGCTGTGCTATGGAAAGGGGTCGGCTTTGCCCAATCTTTTAAGAACCAGAAACCTGAATTTTTATATAAAATTTCCCAAGTTTTAAATATCACTAATTTGGGGCTGGGGATTTAGCTCAGTGGCAAAGTGCCTGCCTGGCAAGCGCAAGGTCCTGAGTTCGGTCCCTGGTACCGGAGAAAAACCAAAAAAATAAAAAATAAAAAAAAAATAAATATCACTAATTGAAATTTTTCTAAGTCACCTGAAGGCCAAACAAATTATACGTCCAGGCTGGCTCTGCCCCTACCCTCATCGGCAAACCCCGTCTGAAACATCTGCCCTGTCTCTGGGTACCAACTCCCCGAACACATCTGCCATATCTGTTGCCTTGGCCATGTCCTCGGGGGCCTCAGCTGCCCCCCCACATCCCCTCCAGAAGCGACCCCAATCTCTTTACCAGATGGGATCTATAAGGCAGCAGTGACTCGGTGGGGGCTGAGCCAGGCCTTTCTACAGCTTTTTGGTACAAATCACAAGAATGGTTCTGGAGTCGAGGAGCTGTCCCCAGCGTGGTTCCTATCTGCCCAGCCACCCATCCCGGGGGCAGGAGCTGTGGGTCCTCTTCCAGACAAGACAAAGCAACACATCTCCACACGCAAGAGTGCACCTGGCACAGCCGGCACCACCCAAGGGGTGGGCTTCCTCCGCCCCCATCGGCCCTCTCCTGAGGATGGCCAAGAGGGGGCCAAAGACAAGAGACAAGCTGGTAATGGCCTGCTCCAATTATGGCAGAGCAGAGAACAAAGGCTTCTGTCTCTCACCACCATCCTGCAGAACCGCTGGCCACAGGCCCCCCTCTTGGAACCCTGCTGGGTTGGAGGGGCTTCCAGGACCCACGAGTACAGAGCACAGGAAAGACCAGGTCACAGGTTTGAGAAGCAGATCTCCGTGAGGCAGACAAAACACCTCCCCTCTGTGAACCCCGGCGACCTAGGATGTCACACAAGACAACCAAAGCCTGGTGCCCACTGCACCCCTGCATCTGTTACCTCCTGCTATATTTTTCCAGGACTCAGTGTGAAACAGCAGCTGTGCCACCAAGTGCCAGAGGGGCTTGGCTGCAGCCCTGTGGCAGAAATGGTCACATAAAAGCAGTGGCTTTATAAAGAGTCAGGAACCATGTTACACGCCTGTGATCCCAGCACTCCAGGAGGCCGAGGCAGGAGGACCACAAGTTCAGGCCAAAACTGGCACCCCCAACACTGCAAGCTTAGAGTTCTCATGGGCTGACATTCAGGCCTTGCTCATCAGCTGGAAGGGACTGGTGGCTGGAGGGTGCAGCTCCAAGCAGAGGCAATCCCTGGGACGAAGGAGTCCTTCGTCAGGGCACAAGAACCAGAAACATTTGAAAAGTGGGTTAAATTAGGCAGGACCCCTGGCCACCAGCAGCCTGTAGGGGCCTTGCTGTGATTTCTACGCCAGGGCAGGTGGAGCTGCACTCCTTGGCCCCGTGTGTGGGGGCAGCGCCTTTGGCCTTGGCTCCTAGCAGAAGGCTGCACACAGCCAGCACTCAGGCGGCGGGCACCAAGCTGGTGCCTATAAACTCACTAAGCCAGGTAGGCAGGAGTTGCTAGCACAGCAGAGGGGACACTGCTCCCCTCCACGAGGACGCAGCACGTGTCAGGCACCATGCCAGACACTTTACATACATTATTTCGTGTAATCCTCTCGGAAGTCGGGAGGTGGGTCCTCCTTGTACTATCTTGGCAACCTGAAGACAGGTTTGGGGGAGGCTGGGAGCTGCCCTGGGGGGCGCATTTAATGTGGGTGGTGAGCCAGCTTCCCCAGCCAGAGTGCTGAAGAGCCTCTGAGAGGCCAGCTGATGGGACAAGGGGAAGACAAAGGCTCAAGCCAAGTTGACGCCACAGGCAGCCAGCAGAAGGCTAAACAAGGTGCCAGCAAAGGGGCCTCTCGGGGCCTTGACCCCAGGTGCCTGCTGTAGGGTTGGATCAGCAGCTACTTAGTGCCAAGAACCCTTTTCTTTCCTCACTGGGGTTTTGTGACTGCAGTTTGCAGGCCCTGGGTTTCTTTCCAGGCTGCTTCAGATGCCGTGTCCAGAGCTCTTCGGTGAGGCACTTCTGGGGCAGGGGAATGGCACATTTTGGTAATCTAATTGCCAAATAAGGAGACTTCTAGCCATGGGATCCCTTCCTGCCCTGTGGCCTGGCTGAGGGCCCTACATCAGTGTCTGTCCTGCTCCTGAGTACACACAGCTCCTTGGAGTCCACAGGGCAGTTTTTGGTAGAAAAGAACTCAAATTCCATACTCTTCACCAAACCATGCCCGTCACAGAGACTTCCAGCTGACCCGAGTCCCTGAGGACTGTCCCCCAGCATTCCTCCCCATTCTGACCACTGGGTGAGAACACAACCCTCCCGGGGGGCCTAGAAAGGTGCTGGTCACCAACAATGAGGAGGGCTCTCCATGACGGACCCCAGAGGCAAAGCACACGGGAAGGGACTGGGGATTTAGCTCAGCGGCAAAGTGCCTGCCTGGCAAGCACAAGGTCAGGAGTTTGATTCCTAGTACTGGAAGCAAAAACAAAAGACCAAAAAAAAAAATTAAAAAAAAAAAAAAAAAGCACACGGAAAGCTCCACTTTAAGGACTGCTATAAACCACAGACATGGCACATGATGGCATCAGGTCCCAGGAGCTCAGGGGACACAGCAGGGAAGGGAAGGTGGCAGGAAAGGGGGTGTGGTCTCCAGTTCCATGCCCTTCTCTCTAGAGGCGCGTGCAGGAAGGGCCCAAGGGCCCCAGGCCAAGCATCAACGGCCACTACAGGCTTGCCCAAAATGGGCACAGTGCCAGGAACATCTAACAAGCCCCCAGGGATGAGGCAGGAAGCTGCCTCGGGCCACGCTCAGAGGGTGTGCCTACTCAGCCACCAGAGATGCCCCTTGGAGACTCCCAGGCAGCCCCAGGATTGCGAGTAGATGGGAGAGGAAGGCTTAGGGGAGGCTCGCAAGGGCCAGGCAGAAGCCCAGGGTTGGGAAGCATTTGGGGTGTGCAGCTCAAGCAAGTGTGGATACATGTTCACCAGCTCAGGTGGCTGGGGTATGGCTCAACTACTCCAGGGCTTTGGTAGGACCAGAAAACAGATCTCCTCCAGGCAGGCCTTGGCCCAAGAACACAGTGGGAAGGTCCTTTTCTTCAGGATTCCCAGCCTGGAAAAGAGTGTAGCCTGCATTTCAGGCCCTCTCAACCCCTCACTGGACACCTCGGCACAGGGCACAAGACGCACGCCATCCCACTGCAGCCTGGGCCTGGTCCCAAAACTGCTCAAGTGAGCCCACTCCTGGGGCTGCGTGCCTGACGCCCCAGCAGGTCCTCTCGTGTCTCACAAGTCGCTCCTGGCCTCTGCTTTCTCTTCACCCTGAGAGCAGCCTCTTCCAGTTCCTGTACAGTACACAGCCCTGGCAAGCCGGCTCAGCTTTCCCAGGGCACGAAGAGTCCATCAGGGCATCTGTCCCGGCCACCTCCCTCTCCTCCCAAGGCTGAGGGGGTGTGAGTGAGTCGTGACCACGACAAAGTAGCAAGGTTGAAGGCCTGGCTCTGGACACACCTGTTCTTCCCCTCTCACTTCCTGAGCTGGAGCACCAAGGGGCTGCGGTCACACGAGCACCCCTGCACGGCCCCACCACGGCAGAACCACCCAGCTCTGCGCAGGATGTGCATAACAAGAAAGAGAACTAACACCTGCAGAGCGGTTTCTCTACCAAGCCCTGTCCTAAGGACTTTTCAAACATGTAATGATTTAACTCTCCCAACCCTGAGCTAGTTGCCATAATTATCCCTATTTTACAGATGAGGAAATCAAGGGAAGGAACCCACAGAAGTAGCTTGCTCAAGGTCACATGGGTACTAAGTGGCTGGAACCCAGGCCATCAGCAATGTTTCAGATAGAGGTTGAGATAGGGTCACTCGGGCCCCCCGGGGCCCTGCCTTAATTTAAGTGCTGATTCCAACCTTTCCTGTTGTAAATAGGAGGCTTTTAGGGGTGGGGATGCTGTAAGCAAGGAGTCTGGTACCGTTTGTCTGTAACCTCTAATTTATACATGCTTTATCCTAATTCATTCGATGTGACAATCAACAGGTTAAAGGGCGTGGAGAAAAAAACATCTGGCGGGCATTTATCAGCCTGATGCCCAGGTAACACCTAGTTTCACCGAACCCACAAGATACCTTTGCAAGGTACTTGGCCCGAGCCCATTCTGCAGAAGGGAGCAGAAGGTACTCCCTTTCCCTGTAGCAGACATAGGCTTGGGAGCCAGGTCCCTCTAATTTCTAAAGCCCAAGGCCCCAAGAGTAGCCGGAGAAGCTACCGGAAGAAAGGGAGCAGACAGAGGAGAGCGAGGCCCGGGGAGGAGTTCACAGGGGCAGAGGCCAGCACCGGGAAAGCAGTCCGCCCCCCAGGGCGGCGCTCCCAGGTCATCCTAAGGAAATCATTCCCGAGGCCTGGGGACGCGGGGACCCGGGGCTGTGCCGTGGCTCCCTGGGCTTGGGGGGTTGTCAGAGTCCGGGTGGCGGGGAGCAGGGATCAGGCGCCGGGCTGCCCTCTGCGGCTCCAGGCCCTGCCGCGACTTGCTGGAAAACCCGGACCTCAGTGTTTATAGTGGTTCCAGCGCCGTCCCAGCCCCCTCCGCCCCGCGCCGGGCTCTGGTCAGCGTCAAAGGCCAGCAGGTAGCACCCGCAGGGCGCGGGGGCGGCACCGAGAACCCCCTCCCTGCCCGCCCCGAACGAGAACGGAAGAGAAGGGCCGCAACCCGCAGCCCCCTCGCCTCGCAGGGACAGAAGCGGGGTCTGCGCCCGGCCCGCCCGGCCCTCCCGGCCCTCCTTTGTCGCGGCACTCACCCAGCGGCAGGCTGATCCGGGGGCCGCTCGCCCGCGCCGAGGCCGGCGACAGGAGCAGCAGGGCGAGCAGCAACAGCGGCGGGGCGCGGGGCGAGC